AAACCATTCCACAGGGGGAAAAAAAAATCATTCCACAGTTGTGAGAAAACAATTGTTTTATCATATTAATCATACTTTCCACCATCATGTAGGTCACTTCAGGGTTCACATGGGGCATTTAAAATTACATGTCAAAATAAACTCCTTAAAGATGTACATTACTAACATTTAAGTCCACTGCAACGTTTGAGATTTAATCAAGAAATAGTGGGTGGGGAGGGAAAAGGGAGAGTGGATCACTTAGAGTTAAATGTGCATTTGGCCTTTTATGTGTCCTGGATCTGGTAAAAACCTCAATTGTGTGACATTTATTGCAAACAAAGAGACCATAGGTTTCTAACCAAGTATCATAGGCTACATATAGAACCTTGGTGGTGTTGGTTTTTCTAATACCTCTAAGAATTTTAGAAATAGTAGGTCCCATTAGGAAAGCACCTTTATCATGTATATTATGTCATTGTAGCTAAATATATTTTTTTAAAAAAGAAAACAAGAAAGCACGTTTGGGTAGCCCTATAGATTTTAGAACTCTTTCCTCCCAATTTTGATCTGCAAAGGAACCAAATGGCCAATTTCACCAAAGATCTCAAACTTAAAAAAAAAAGATTTTATGTATTTATTTGAGAATGAGTGAGAGAGACCACCGAGGGAGACGAAGAGGGAGAGGGAGGAGCAGATTGGTCACTGAGCGGAGAGCTCGACGCGAGCTGGATCCCAGGACCCCAAGATGATGATCTGAGCCAAAAGCAGATGCTTAACCAACTGAGCCACCCAGGTGCCCCTCACACTTCTTTTTGGAACTAAGAACCTGATTTCTTTTTCTTTTAATTCAATTTTTTAAAAGATTTTATTTATTCATGAGAGACACACAGAGAGAGAGAGGCAGAGACACCAGCAGAGGGAGAAGCAGGCTCCCTGTGGGGAGCCCAATGTGGGACTCGATCCCAGGACTCCAGGATCACACCCTGAGCCAAAGGCAAACGCTCAACCACTGAGCCCCCCAGGAGTCCCAGAACCTGATTTCTATATACATCTTCAATAAGTAGGGCAAGGGTGATTATAGTGATGCAAATTCAACGTTTTTGTTGTTTGTTTTTTTTTTGAATGAAAACTCCGCCCCACCTTCCCCCCAGCCAAAAAAAAAAGTGGGGTGGGGGGACACCTGGGGTGGCTCAGTTGGCTAAGAGTCCTACTCTTGATTTTGGCTCAGATCACGGTCCCAGGGTCATGAGATTGGAGCCCCGCTTCAGGCTCCGTGCTGGGTGTGGAGTCTGCTTAAGGTTCTCTTTCTCCCTCTTACTCTGGCCCCAACCTCAACTCCACACACTCTCTCTCTCATTCTCTCTAAACAAAACCAAAACCAAAAAAAAAAAAAAAGAAAAAGAAAAACCCAAAAACTCCCATCAGTTAGTTTCCACTGGGAGTTCTGCTCAAAAACAGCAAACATGTCATGTAGCTCTTGCCCTAGAAACACCACCTTCAATGCCATGGGGCCAACTAACAGACCCCTGTAAATCATAGCTTGGTTAGAGGAGTTAAAAACAGACCTAAAACACTATCAGGTTTAATACGCTACACATTTTTCTCTAACACAAACTGATAGAACATGGTATTTTTCAAAGCCTCCCACACAAGCAATTAAAACACACACGCATACGCATGTACACGCACATGCTCAATGTACTCAAATCCACATGTGGAGTTTCTAAAACAAATGAATTTTTCAACGATCAAACATTTAACCATTCCAAATCGGGGATTTTCATAAGCATTTCTCCCAGTTGAATCTATTAAGCAATCATGCAGCAATGTCACTGAGGAAAAGTCACTGAATTTCTGCACTAATATCATGCATTTATTATTCTGGTTTTTATCAATTCTAATTTTTGCACAGCAGAATTCCTTCCCTCCTTGGGGCTAAGCTTATTTACAGAACAAATCACACAGTGGATCTACTTGGCTCAGCTGAAATGTTACGTCAAAACGGACACAACCGCTCCGATTTTAAATTTCAAAACTATTTTTACCTTTCGATTTTAAAGTGTAACATTAGAAACCTTATCCAATTAAAGAAAAATCGACAAAGTTATTAGCTGACTTCATCTGTAAAGAGCGACTGGACACACTTCGCAAGAGGCAGATGTTTTTTAAGTTTCACACAAAAAATACCACCTCTGTCAAAGCGTGTGGAGCTCAAGAAATCCAATGTGTTAGGTAAATGCAAGAAATGCCTTTTGTCAGTTAAGGGTTTATAACAAACTGACAGCAACGAAAGACTTCCTGAAAAACTTCACCTAAGTGGGGAGACACTAAACCACCCTTATCTGTGTGCCCAGTGCCATGGAGCAGCTGTTCATCAGTTGATGCTGGGTGGGCATCTGAGACCTGGGCCCCCGAATAATCAAAGTTCTGCCCCAATAGGGAATCCGCCCCTCCAAAAAAAAAAAAATCATCTGGAAAGCTTAATGTGGTTCCCTATCTAGTTTCAAAGAGGCAGGGGTTCACCAGCAGAGGTGACTAACACCAATCGTGCGGGATGGAAAATGAGCCTGGTAAGTAAAATTGCAGCAATTTTGTCACCAGAAAAATGGGAATTCAGAGACATCTTTGTAAGGTCAGTGACCCACAGCCTCCTTGACCTTGAAGCCAGGGAAAGACAGATGCAAATGGCACTGAGCTTTATAAAATTCCCCGCTCCCAATAGGGCTGCAGTGAGGCCTGTGGAGTAGGCCGAGGCCATGGTCTGCTGTGACTGGTCCGCAAAGAGGTGAGGTGCAGCTGACAAGAAGCATTTAGCAGGAGCATCCGGACAGTCTATCTATGGAATCTCCTTAAAAAAAAAAAAACAAAAAAAATTTTAAACTTGGGTTTTGCATACATCATTATTCTTATTCAATTCACTTTCCTAGTGATAGGTTCTTACCGTATTTTGTAGCAAGGATTGATCCCGAATAACTTGGAAAATTTAAAAAAAAAAAACAAAGGTCCTTTCCCATAGACAGTTTGAGAAGCACTGCACTAGAGCACCCAAAAATCCAGTTTTGGGTGGATAATATGCATATTCGGCTCGTAAGAATACTGATTTACCTGTAATCGTCTCTTAAGTTACTTGAATATTGAGATTTTTCAGAAGCAGGTAATTTGCCCATGTGCGATATGCTAAGCTCCTCTGATTAACATCTGAATTAATCTAGAGCTATTTGAAATGCAGGCCAATGAGATACCATATAATCAACACTGTACTGAGGAAGGGAGACGTTAATGAGTATGATTCCCTCAAAAAAAAAAAAAAAAAAAGCTAAGTTCTGTGGTCAAACAAGTTGGAGCTGTATACCCCATCCCACAGCCTCCTCCTGGCACATTAAGAATCTTGACAAGGTCTGTAGTTAAGAAATTCGTCTGGCAGGGGATGCCTGGGTGGCTCAGCGGTTTAGTGCCTGCCTTAGGCCTAGGGCGCGATCCTGGAATCCCAGGATCGAGTCCCAGGTCCGGCTCCCTGCATGGAGCCTGCTTCCCTCTCCTCCTGTGTCTCTGCCCCTCTCTCTCTATGTCTGAATAAACAAATAATAAATAAATGAGTAATAAATAAATAAATAAATAAATAAATAAATAAATAGAAGGTAAATATATAAATAAGTAAATAAGTAAATAAGTAAATAAATAAATATTCTTAAAAAGAAAGAAAGAAATTTGTCTAGCTCCACAGATATGATTTTAAGGATCCTGGCAAGGTCTATAGTTAAGAAATCCATTTAGCTCCACAGATATGACCCTCTTGTTCTTGGAAATGAGGACAGAGTTAAAAGTCTCCAGATTAGGAATCCAAAGCCTTGAGTGTCACTTTTCTGTCTTCATCTGCAGCTGGATCATGCTACCCCTACCCCGTAGGGCTGAGTTGCAGCACCAACGAAGTAACTTGTAAAATGACTTCACAGAAGGTCAGCTCTTTGAGGACAAGAAACTGGCACCCCTCCTTTGTTCCCACAGCCCCTCCTGCACCCCAACACACACACACACACACACACACACACACACACACACCACGGAGCACTCAGCACAGTTACTAAGCTATCCCCTAGGGAATGTTCCAGATTGTCTCCTAATCCCTCACCTCCCAACACACACCCAGGATGGCTAATCCCAATGGTCCTGTTGTTGACCACTCCCCTGGAATTCTGTGTCTGTGGAGGCCTCCCATCCCCTGGTCCCCTGGTCCCCTGGCTGGTGTGGTGTGTCAGACACCTGCTGTCCTTCCTTGGATGTGCAGGTGGGCCCTAGAGTAGAGCCAGGAGGGTGCCCTGCACGGAGCAGAAGCCCCCCAGCTGGCGAGCATGCTCCCTTGGCCTCAACCTCTGTGCAAAGCCATTTCTCTGAGATGCTGCAGGGGCCACAGTCCAGCAGGGCAGGACTCAGGTGTTCAGGTTCCCACGCCCAAAGCCATCCTCCCGCCCAAACCACCTGCTCCCTCTCCCACAGTCCCCACATGCTTTGCAGGAGGGTCTCGTTGAGCTGGATCGATACTGCATTCGTCTTAGTGAGAGAACAATCTCAACACAGATGATATCACAGCCCTGGAAGAGAAAGCGCCCTAACAGAGAACTCATGACGGAGCCTGATAGCATCTCTTGCCCAACTAACACCACAATCCAGGGCCTATTCAACCTCTGGCTCCCCATTTCAACAATCAATAATAATACATCCCCCCCCCGACATGACAGTTATTTTTGACTTCTCTGGCTCCTCTGTTTGCGTCAACGGCAGCACCCGGAATCCGAGTGACCTCTGCGAGGTCGCGTGGTCAGTGAAACGTAGGGCAAGGAATTGGCTTTCGTGCACATTCTTCCAACCACCAAACCACAGGGTCTTTGTTAAGGTCAAAATCATCATGAAACATTATTTACATAGTACACAACGAGCTCAGAGCCGCAGCCGTTCCAAGCACGAGCCCCAACTTAAAATAATAAAAAATAAAAAGATAAGGGACTGTTCGTTTTACTCACTGTTCACATAAACATTAAAGGCCACCGAAGAATTGACATCGGAATTGGACACTTGAAATGTGTAAGTGCCTCCTTCGTTCCCTTTTAATCTGGTTAGATGAAGTTCACTCACATATCTACAAAGGATAAAATAGAAAAGAAAAAACCTTTAGGGATCCCTGGGTGGCGCAGCGGTTTGGCGCCTGCCTTGGGCCCAGGGCGCGATCCTGGAGACCCGGGATCGAATCCCATATCGGGCTCCCGCTGCATGGAGCCTGCTTCTCCATCTGCCTATGTCTCTGCCTCTCTCTCTTTCTCTCTCTGTGACTATCATAAATAAATAAATAAATAAAAATTAAAAAAAAAAAGAAAGAAAAGAAAAGAAATCAAGCTCTCGCGAACGGCCTGCCTCGGGTGAGCATCTTGTCCACAGTTTCTCTTGGAAACACACGCCTGTGGGAGGAAGGACCAGACTAAGCACTTAACTCAGTATTAACAGGATCCATGTTAACAGATACGAACCTATAGGCATGTATTTAATTTGGGCCCAATGGCTGAGTGGGGAGAGGCTTTCGTGGCCTTGTGGAGGCCGCAGCCTCTTTGGCCTCCTGGCTGTCCTCATGCCCAGGTCCCCCTCTGCCCATAATCCTTCCCCGGTGTCCTGAACTCACCCACCCTGCTGCCCTATAACGCTGTGCCCCTGGCGGGGCCCCCAGACGAGCAGGTGCCCACGTGGAGGACCCTCACCTTCCTTCTTGCAAAGATCATAATCGCCCAATTCTCCTTTCACCCCCACTACTTCCTCCTGGCATCCTTTCCAGTATGTGCTATTCAAGCTTCTGGTTTCCTACCGGGATGATACTAGATATGGCTGTGTAGACTGAGCCCACAGGCCTGCCAAGGGAGTTCCCGACGTGGGCACTGGTGTGGGTGGAGCGCCCTGGGCAGCCCTGGACCCGTGTGAGCAACATACACAACCGCCCAGATATACGCAGGGGCCTCTTCAGACTTTCATCTCCTCTCACAATGCACACGCCCCCGAGCGATCCACTCTCACGACGAACTCCTTGCTGTTTGCTCACAGCTTTCAAATCCTTACGTCTGGTTCAGAGCTCTCGGTCCTCGCCTCCTCTACAGAGCTATTTGCATGCCTGCATCTCCCTGCCTCATGGGTACAGCTTATAATGATTCACACCTGCAACATCCTCCCAAGTCTTGCCCTTGGACACTTGGCCCCTTTTGGACACTGACTGCCTCTCTAGGTCTAGGGCTGATGAGTGACTGCCCGTGGGGAGGGACAAAAGCTCTGGAGAGCGCCCCTGAGATCAGCCTGCCAATCACCCATCCATCCCTTCTCTCCTCCTTTACCCTTCCTGTCCTGCTCTCCCTCTCCCTCAATGAAGCTCTTGACCCAGAATCCCTGTCTCAGGCTCTGCTTCTGGGGAACCTGCCCTCGATACTTCCTACCTGAATGTCCACACTCAAGAGCCCGTGGACATTCTCAAATTCAACCAACCCCAAAAACTCATGGTCTTTGCCCTCCCAACCCTTCCCCCTCCTCCTTGAAAGACATCACCTCTCACCCTCCAACGTAGCTGATAAATACAGAATCTGAAGGGGTATCTTCAGCTCCTACCTCTCTCTCCTATCCCCTCAATCGCTGAGTCTTACTAAAGAGGTAGCCTGGATACCTCCCGAATCCATCCTCCTCCCTCCAGCCCCTGCACCTTGACCCAGGACAGCCTCACCTCTCACCCATATTCCTACAACAGCCCATAGCTCTTCACTGGGAAAAAAAAAAAAAAGTCTACGAAGGCATCCACTTCTGTTGGCCATTTGACCTTGGTCAAGTTACATCAAGACTCATTTGTGTCTCAGTTTCCTCTTCTCAGAAACGACAAGAATAAAAGTGCCTGTCCATGGGGTTTGTGAGGACTGAAATTATTGACTTAATATATGGAAGGTACTGAGAACAGTGCAGCGCAGGCAAGAGCACCTGCAGCCTACATAAAGTAAGCCACTTTTATGCTTTTGCTTTGTCGTTTTTATTATTTTTATTAATTTTATTTTTACTTACTATTTTCATTTTATTTTTTACTATTTTATGATTGCTACTGTTTTTTGTTAGAAATGTCTTGAGGATCAAATGAGAGATGTGGGGGCGCCTGGGTGGCTCAGTCAGTCAAGCATCCAACTCTTAGTTTCGGCTCAGGTCATGATCTCAGGGTCGTGGGACTGAACCCCACATGGGCTCTGAGCTCAGGGAGGAGACTGCTAAAGTTTCCCTCGGCTCCTCGCTGTGTGCGCTTGCTCTTTCTCTCTCAAATAAATTAAATCCTTAAAAAAAAAAGAGAGAGAGAGAGAGAGGTGTGATGTCATAGAACTTGGAGTTCACTGCCTGGACCAAAGCTACTGAATGAATGAGGCTTAGTTTTCATATAGTTGGTTGTTTTACTTACTTACTTACTTACTTACTTACTTATTTATTATTTATTTATTTATTTATTTATTTGAGACAGAGAGAGAGGACGTATTTATTTATTTATTTGAGACAAAGAGAGAGGACATGTGAGCTGTGGGGCCAGGGTGGGAAGGAGCAGAGGGAGAGAGAAGGAGAGAAGCAGACTCCTCACTGAGCCGGGAGCCCAACTCCAGGCTTGATCCCATGACCCTGAGATCATGAGCTGTGCAGAAATCAAGAGTCAGAGGCTTAATGACACAGGCACCTCTCTTTTTCTGACAGTTCTCATTGTTTATTTTTAAAGATTGTATTTATTTAAAGATTTTTATTTGCTCATCTGAGAGAGAGAGAGAGAGAGAGAGCACAAGCAGGGGGAGGAGGAGAGGGAGAGGGAGAAGCAGACTCCCCATTGAGCAAGGAGCCCAACGCAAGGCTGGATCTCACGACCTGAGCCAAAGGCTTAACCCACTGAGCCACCCAGGTGGCCCTGACAGTATTTTCAAAAAGGTTTCAAAGCACTCACTTTCCTCTTTCCTCTGAAAAATAATTTAATGTGTCCCTAGAATGTGCCATTCCCTGCTTTCGATCATCCTCCATATCAGAAATGTGAAAACTGATGCACAGATTTTTGTGCGGGTTTTAAACACAACACAAAAGGCAACACTGGCCTGAAGACTCAGGAAGGAGCCCCACACTTCCTCCTATGCCAGGTGTCCTCTCACACACTTATGGGCCACAAAAATAGGATCTGGTAAGCGAAGGGAAGTGGGGAGAAATGTCTAATCCCCAGCGCGAGGCTCTTCTCTTACCTGATATTACTTTCGTTGTCAGACTTGGGGTAATCTTCCCATTTATCAGTGAAGGTTCTGTTCATACAGATCCACTGCTGGTGCTCCGGTTTGGGATATGCCTCATATTCAACAATCAGATCCACATTCTCTCCATCATTTACAAATATTGTAGTACTCGTCACGGGGAAGATATTAATGAATCCTTTATCTAGTTATAACAGAATAAAACAGGGAGAAACTATGATCCACAACCACACAACAGAAAACACAGCTTCCCCTTTGGCTGTAAGGATAGTGGACTGGGGTCAGGTATTAAGAATATTTTGACTTGCCATTGTACCTTTTTTGGGTCTTTTTGCTCTTGTAGAATCACCGTCATAAAGTGAGAAAGGACAGCCCTCAAATGTTCATTCTCCCACCTGTCTCTCAAGCAACTCTCTTAAAGATCAAGCACCATCTTGTTAAAAGTCTTCTAGAATGACTGGACCTGATGCTTCTTAGGTCAAAAAACCTTTGGACTAAATAGTCATACCCAGACTCAATATAAATGTGATGATATGAAGGTGTCCAAAATCAAGATGAAGAAGAGATCCTAATGGTCAGTGGAGATGTTGAAAGAACACCATTTAGTATTTGAAGAAAAATAAACATCCATCTTCTCATCACATCATGTATCACAGATGAAATGAAGGACGGCACCTTAAAAACCCTACCGTATTTTTAACTAAACAGAATTAACTCCTATCAAACTTCTAGGTGGGGAGGGGGAAGGGCAGTTTTCTAGGCTTTTTAGGAACCACAGAAGAAAAAGAATCCTAAAATCATAAAAAATCCCAAGAATCTGAATATATAAGCTTTTTTAAATGTCTATATAGTAAAAGTAAGGTAATAAGAAAAAGAACATGAAAATATAGATGGAGAAATATTTAAACTAGTACTTAAAATAAGTCGTCACTCTTCACTTATTAAAAATAGCAGAACTTCAATAAAGCTGCTAAAAAATAAAGTATATCCATCCTGTGGAAAAATAGGAAAACTAATTTGAAAGAAACTCAATAATTTTGCAAGTGTGGTAAAAGTAGCACGCCGAATTACACACTGTAAATTGGCACAACTCTTCCAGAAAGCATTTAGCAATATAGATTTTCTATAATTATCTATTCTCCCATTTAACCCTGTAATTCCCACTTGAGATCCCTTTTTAGTGGATAACTACAGACCAAAGGAACAGCTATCCACCCTGGACATAATAATTTTCAAAATCAGAGAACTGGTTTCTCAAGCAGCCCTTAGAAATGGTTATATAATAATAAGATAAGAAAGAGTTTGAAAAAAAAAGTAATAAAATTATTGCCAATATTAGTTTTATGGCCACCATTTATGGAATGTTTGCTATGTGCCAAGAACTGCCCTATGCAGTTTAGCATACACTCTAATTAATAATTACGGCAAATATATAATTGTATAACAATACTGAAAGAGAACACTTAGAACTCCTAATTGACACATGAAAAATATCCAGTCCTGGAAAACTAAACGGTTAGCTACCCAAAGGCAGAGCCCAGATCGGAGTACAGGTTCATGAGAAGCCAAGGCTGGCCTCTTCTTACAGCAGCAAATTCCCTAGATTCTCTACTTTCAGTTCGAGAGAGAGAGAGTGACATCTTTTGTGTAACTGAAACCCTGCTGCGTGCAAAAATATAATCAATTTACCAAATCTTTAAAAACAGTTCTATCACATTAGTGGAAGGGTTTTCACATTTTATTCTTCCATTTCTTTCCCCAAATTTAAGAATTATAAAATTTAAAATTATTCATTATTTTTGGCACTACTCAGTTGAAAATGTTAAGGTCCTACATGAGTTGTCGTTCTAGTATTTACTGTCCTTTAGTTTCCTAGAGATTCAGAATGAGAAAAAGAGTCCAACTGCACCAATGAAAAGGATGTGTCACAGATGAGAATAAAAAAATCATCCGGGTGAAAGATGGAGATGGAAACCACCACCCTGTTCTAATGCCTGAATCATAAATGAAGCTCCCTCTGCCATTTTTAAAGCAAATTTAGATTTTCGGTTAATTTTGAAGGAATAAATCTTTCCTCGGAGTGCTGTGTTACAGTTTCAGGTTCTTAGGGTCATAAATTGATCCCACACAATGCAAAATGCTCAAATATTACGGACCACAATATTTGCACTGAAATGAGTTCCCTCATCATCACCATACATAAAATACTTAAGTTCCTCCTGAGTTTCCCAGAGTCCTTTGGCTCAATATACTTTTATGTCCTTCAAATTCATGAAGTATCAGAATTATTCAAATCAAAGAATTCCATCAGGGTTGTTTTTACATAAAGTATGATTTTTTTCAGGTACTTCTGCATTAAGAAATTGGTGATGCATTAGTATTTAACCAGTACAAACGCTATGTGAGGTACTTCTATGAAATCTATTGCCTTTTCTCCTCTCTATAACCTCTGCAGTTAGAGGTAGGGTTTCTCATAAGAGAAAATGCAGGTAGAGTTAAAGTAGGCTGCATTCAAAAGTTGGGTGGCACGGCCCCAACTTAAAACCAGGTGGGGACCATCCCAAAGCCACTCCACATGGTATCCAAATTCTCCTACTCCCAGCCCCCAAAGAAATTGCTTTTCTCTTTGTCTCCTCCTGTTCGTGTCCCATCCCAACCCACCCCAAAACAATAAAAAACCAGATTCAGGTTTCAGAGCCACAAGCCTTTCCAGTTACACAGTCATATTCTTGGAAATTGATGAATGGATTTTAAAAATCTGATTACATACAATAATATGCTCAAAACGTCCTTACTAATTGCTTTCTGGAGCTGAAGCTGATATATCAACATGCTCCCTAATCAACTTAGCAAATTAGCACTTATGGAGTTTAATATTTTGAAAGCATAGCTTTCCATTCAAATTAATAAATGGTTCACAATCACGTTTAGGGAAAAAGTAATACTCTTTCTGCAAGCTGGTTCTATCACTGCAAGTCAAGCGTGTTTCCCACGTTTAGTCTGGTGAGATGCTTTCCATTACAACATGGGCAGAAATGCCAAAATTATATGAGCTCATTGTGGGATAAATCACAGACCTCTAACACTGCTTCATAAATTATTGAGGAAACATGGGGGGAAGAGGAGAAACGAAAACAAGTATCACATCATTTTATTATGGCTCATGATGAAGAAATTTGCCACCCTACCAGTACTTAATCAAAGTCAAGCACAGAGACTGTACTTGCATTAAAAAAAAAAACACAAGAGATTAAATTCAGACAATACTCACAAAACAAAAAAATGTGTAAATAAAGCAATTTAAAAATTACTCTTATTTCCAGTAAATCAAAAAACATCCAGTACATTCACTACCTTCTGCTCCCATTAAGTAAATCTTGGAAAATAAATATTTAGTGAGATTTCCAGAGTAGGGAAGGAAACTAAACCACTTGTGCATACCAGCTATGATGGGGTTAGGATTATAGGGTAACATGACCCAGTTTATGCTGTGCAGAACCAATGATTCAGGCCCCAGGGGACCTCCTTCCTGAAGGTTCACACTATGGCCTACACGGCTGGAGGATGGGGTAAAGTGAGCGGTGTCCTAGGAAGAAGCAGCCCAACTCAGCCCTTCCTGTGACAAATGAACTAGACCCATGAGTGGTAAAAAGATAAACCAAAGGCTCAGGTGCCCCCCTAAAAGATTCAGAGAACTACTTCAGGCTCTCAGCATCTGGACTCCTCCACTGAGAAAGTCCACACCCATTTCTAAACTCGAGTCATTCAGTAAAGACTCGAATTTTTGAAAAAAGTTCCACCTAACATCTTACTTGTTTAGTGGGGGGGGGAGGGATGGGAGAAAATGACCCATTTAAACAACTTCAGTTGCAAGTTTCCACTTCCTCTTTATTAAACTGGTGGAATTTGCTTTTGTGCTCTGGTTGGAAAAGGCGACAGTGATCATTTTCATTCATTCATTCATTCATTCACTCATGTGGTGACAATTAAATTTCTAGTAATCTCTTCAACATTCTATTAGCATAAAAAGGAAGCTATCTAGCAATTTCTTGTTTCACTACTGCCAATAATTTATACATTCTGATAGAGACATTTACCTACTACTTCCAAGGTTGTTGTGACATTTGCTGATCCAAAAGTATTATTGGCGTAACACATGAACACTCCAGAATCATTAACTCTTGCTGAGCTGATAATCAACTTTTCCTGACGTTCAAAATTGAAGTCACCGCGATGCCAGCTATTACTCTGTGTCTGTGCATTAGTCTGCTGGTTTTGGAAAGAGAGAAAAAAAAACCAAAGATTACCATAAAATTTATATTCAGGATCTTTCCTAGATAAATTAAAAATAGCAGCAATTAACTTCTCCATATTAACATTCATTATACACTACTTAAGTAAGAATAATAAAGCATCATGACAAGTCTGTCATTGGAACACTTCATATTACAGGATTATATTGAAAGATAGTCATTATTAATGATTGGAAAAAACATGAAAATTCATTTCATGATAACCATGGCGTACATCATTCCAAATTCTCTGCAGCACTAAATATTTTAACGTGCCAAATTTTAGAAGTTACTATATAAGAAATATTACTGAATACTGATACTTTACATTTAGTCAGCATATTTAGGTCATATCAAGAACTCAAATCTCGGGATCCCTGGGTGGCGCAGCGGTTTGGCGCCTGCCTTTGGCCCAGGGCGCGATCCTGGAGACCCGGGATCGAATCCCACATCGGGCTCCCGGTGCATGGAGCCTGCTTCTCCCTCTGCCTGTGTCTCTGCATCTCTCTCTCTCTCTATCATAAATAAATAAAAATTAAAAAAAAGAACTCAAATCTTCCAGTTAATCAAAAACATCCAGTACATTCACTACATTCTGCTGTCATTAAGCAGATCTTAGAAAATAAATAGTGAGATTTCCAGAGCAGGGGGAAAAAAGCGACACCAATTGTTCATAGTTAGGTCATATCATTATCTCTATATCCCAGTGATTGAAAGAAAACACATCACTATTAATAATATTCTATTTTATCAACATCTATATTATTTTCACGAGTAAAAATTGAACCACAATGTCGAAAACTAACTTGGAGACTCATCCTACAGTTGTTATCCAGTAGAATTTTGGCAACTATTAAAAAGAGTTCCAAAGTATGTGAGACGTCTAAGACCAAACCCCAAATTATTTAAGCATGAGTGGAAGAGAAAAAGTTGCAAATTTACTCTTGTGATATCACCATTCTACTCGTATTATTTGCCTGCGGACAAGACACAGAGAGATTTCTTGGATGGAAAACATCATGGGAATAAAACATAACATAAACTATAGTCACTCTGAAAATATTAGAGGGAGTACTATAGAGCTTTCTGCAGCTTCCCAATTTTCGGTAAAATGAACACATTCCTACGGAAAAAAATAACAACTGAAAAAACAAAAACAAAAAAGGAAACAGGAGCTGATACTGACATGAAACGAGACCAAGGGTAATGCGCTGGCCAGGCTATGGTCAACCTATCAGCACGAGACCATTCCGACACTATTGTAAATCAGAACAATCCCCGTGGAAAGCAATTTGGCTGTTTGTTCAGACCCCTGATCAGTTCCAGCAAACTTATCTCAAGGAAATAACTCAATTTTTTAAAAAAGCTTCAAAATATTTACTGCAGTGAAATCTCAGAGATGACCTAAATGTATACCAAGTATCAAAATTATAAATGTGAAAATAAGAAAAGGGTTCATATTACTTAATAAGCATAAACCGAGTGTACCCTAAAACTGCAAACATGGGGTAATACATATGCATGGGAGCAGAGGGAAAAGAAATATGAAAAAAAAAGTGGGCAATATAGTATTTATAAAGACCAGACACACAAAGAATACTGAGCTCTTGGAATGCTTGAGGTCCAACCTGTGTTATAAATATAAAGTATGCCCCAGATTTTGAAGCCTTAATATGAAAAATAGTAGTGCAAAATAACCCATTGATATTTTTATGTTAATTACATTGATAAGATAATATTTTGGCTATACTAGGTTAAATAAAATGTGTCGATTTTACTCTGGCTCTGTCATGTGCCTACTAGAAAATGTTAATCACACAGGAGGCTCACATTTTATTTCCCATTGCACAGCACTACAACACGCAATGGTGGAATCATATCTGTTTCTTTTTTCCTCATGTTATTATATTTTTGGAAATTTTTTTTACGTTAAAGTGAGCATACATAAGAGCAGACTGCCAAAGCGGAATGTTTTGAAATAAAAAGAAGAGAAACCTGCTTTCTTAACTAACTGTGAGATCTTGACAAGTCGAGGATACTACTAGTCTCAGCTTTTGTTTCTATAAGGAAATGAGACGGGGGGGGGGCCTGGGTGGCTCAGTAGGTTAAGCGTCTGCCTTTGGCTCAAGTCATGAACTCGGGGTCTTGAGATGGAGCCCTGCGTCGGGCTCCCTGCTCAGCAGGAGTCTGCTCTTCCCTCTGTCTCTCTCCTTCTCTGTTTCTCCCTCCCTTGCTTGTTCTCTCTCTCTCTCAAATAAATAAAAGGAAATAAGAAAGCAGAGGTCTTTAAAGGCCTTTTCATTTTGAAGCACAATGCAGATATGAAGACACTCTCTTCCAAGAGATTCTTCTAATAATTGGCAGAAATCTGCCATTTCACTGCAGAAGAGCAATCAAGAAGATGCAGTAGCAAGGTGAGGGGACACTGTTTTGTCCTCTCCCGGTCCACCAGGTCACAGACTTCTCTGCAAAGGCAGAGTAATCACAGACAGCTAACATACCACATTCTAGATTTGTGGTATAGATATATGTAGCCCGAGGGTCTATGACAAGGAGCTAACCAGGAACAAGGAACACATGTCAGCGCAGGAAGGAATAGCTTGGTCCGATGTGATACAATATCAACACCTAAACCCAAAGACCTTAATTCAGGATGATGTCAAATAACATAATTAAAAGTAAAAATACAAGGGTTTAGAGGCACTAGGAAAGCTAACCAAGAGTCACGAGTGGTGAATAAACTCCAAGACTCTCTTAGGGTTTAAAACAAACAACTGCAAAAACTCTAGAGTAGTCATTTTATCCTAAATTTCTCTGTGAGTTTTAAACTTATTCTAAACGGTCAGAATCAAATACCAGGAATTTTTAAGATAATTTCATAGCGCTCACAGTGCTAAGTATTCCCAATGAAGCCAAAGGATATCAACAAAAGATTCACGGCTGAACCTTGGCATGGAGCCACGAGCCCCATCTGCAAGTCACACATTACATATTGTTTGCATGTGATTTGGTTTTCCTTAACCCTTGAGGTGCACACTGGGATTTCCCCAAAGAGCTCCCAACACTGAAAGCTTATCTAGCAGCGCCAGTGGATTAATTGGGAATGGCACGCAGGACTCCTGGGAAAAGTGGTTCAGAACAAAACTGCCTGGGGCAATTGAATTTCTCATGAAAAAAGGCTGATTTTCAAGTTATGCAGAGGCTCAAATACACACATGGTCTAAACTGTTCTCTCATCTGAAATCAAGGATTATGGAAAGCCAATTAATATAGGATTGCGTTCCGTAGGGTCAGTCAAAAATCCATACATAAGCTATTGTTTTTATTAAATTATATGATATGGAAACTAAAACTTGTTTCTTTAAGCCACTGGTCTGAGAGAACAAGACTCTAGTACGATCCAGTCTCTAGTCAATGGCAGGCTTCATCAGCAAGGTGTCATCCATCACAAGTCTACGCGAATACCATCATAGTACTTTGCATTATGCTAATCACCATGGTTACTTATGGAGCAAAGAATTCTTTAAAGAGGCATGAAATTGGCCATGTTGAATACAGAGCATGAGAAGGAAGAAGAAGAGGAGGAAGAGGAGGAGGAAAATATATCTTTTCTCCCATGCAATGCATACATGTGTTCTGAAGAAAAACCACTGTGATAGCAAATTACCTTAGATGGCCAAGATTATGCAAATAAAAATTACTGAAAATTCGGTGGATGGGAATTTTAAAGCAACATATTTGGGAAATTAGAATTTGAAAGACCTTGCTATTAATGATTATTTAGGGGGGGGGAAAACTTCATATAACTGGCTGAAATTTACTTAAGATACGCCTTCCACAGTATCTGACATATAGGAGACATTCAATATGCATTTGTTAAATGAATGAGAACTTAAACATGTCCAAATGTTTCAGATTAAAGATAACCATTTTATGAACAGTGACTAAAACAAATAGAAAACCATTAGCAACTTGATCTCAGGTAACCAGCCTCAGAGGGGAGAAGTCAGATCAAGAAAAAAGGAAACACAGCTCTCAAATGGATAGGCCACTTTGTGGGAAAGGAGGGAGCGCCCCGGTTAGTATCTGAGATCATTGACTGTTTTTAAATATGGAAGGGGGGAAAAATTGACGACTTTTCCCAATATTTTAAATCATCTGGCCTGGATAATTTTAAGAGTCTTAAAACTCAAGGTTAACGTACGTGGCTAACAAGAAGTGTTCTTAAAATTTTCCCTACAAAAGTCAAAGAAACAGCACACGGTATAGAACAGGAGGAGTCTGAAGTTCTCTCTTCGGTCTTCTCAAAATAAATTTACAAAATGACACGTATTTGTCGCTAATAATGAATACACACATCCACATATGGTGTTACGGAAGGGGGCAATGTGCATCTCGACATACGCCCAGACAGCCCCGCCTCAGACAGACACACCAGCGGAGCCATCCCCAGGATAATCAATGGACTGTTTTAAGGGGAAAACCTTAAAATGTCCCCCACAGAGAGAACAATGTATTGAGAAAAACAAAGGAAACAAGCCACTTACCTGGCTGTTTTCCTTTAGCCACATCGAGTCCACGAAACTAGACACATCTTTTATAAAGCACGTCACGGAGAAGGCTTCCCCTTCCTTCAGGAGAGAGCTTGTTTTGGACACTGACACGACGGGTACAGCTCTGAAGGCTAGAACAAGAAGAAACGTGGCCCTCAAATTATTTCTTCCACGATCATATGCCATTGTCACCTACTGCTTTTCCTCGAATGCACCCGACCTATTTGGGCATCTTTTAAATGAAATCTCAAGTACTGATCAATCTGTATTACTTGCCTATCTGAAGACATCAGCAATCCAATCTTGCATCCTTCAAGCAAATTCATTAATATTGAGCGACAAAAATAGGAATGTCTGCTTTGAGATGATAATGCTCCTGGCCAAAGCTATTTTGAAACAGGGAGAAGCCCTGGCACAGGGAAAGTGGCTTTAACCTTGATGGTTTCATGAGGACGTGACCTACGACTACTTACAGTCTTTCAACCAAACAGGCATCTTTCCCATGTGCCGTAGTAATAATAGCTTGCTCATTTCTGAAAAATCTCCATTTTTAAATAGTCGAACTTTCCTTAATCCCAATGAGCACCCTTTTTCAAAAGCCTCCATAAAAACCCCTCCGTAGCAGAATGTCACCCGGTGTGGAATTTGATGAGCTCGGAGACACAGAAATCCAGACATCTTCCGGCTACGAATTCGATCAACATAATGCCACGATGATAACAAGGGCCACACTCTGTTGGTGCTCTCCTCCTCAGACTGGGAATAAGTCTGGGAATGCATTAAAATCAAATCGCTGAGGAGAAACTCAATTCCTCTCTCAACAATAAATCAAGGGGTGAATAATGTATGTGCTAATCTTTCCCAACAGTGGAATCAAAGCTCCCCAGTGAGGTTCCGTCGGAAGCACACCTCATGCAGTCATGAAACTCTGGGTGTCCTGATGTTGTGAGGTTTCACAGCTGTCCCTTTGGGGGTCTACGCACCGGTTTCTGGCAGATGCACCTGCCAACGGTGGCCAACGGAGGCCAACGGCGGCCGTGCATTGGGGGTGTGGGGCTTGGGGCTACGAAGCAAAGAATTCACCGGCCACGGACAGTAGTTGGGAGCTGGGGAAAGTGATGAAGAGCCAGAGAGTAAGACAGACCAGGGAGAGGAGACAAGTCACCCCTCCATCAACAGATGCTCCGCCTCCCCACAAGAAAGAGAGAAAGGGCCCCTACCTGCCCTCACTTTCAGGGTGAATTTCTTGGACAGCACCGTCCTCCCCTTCTGGTCCGCAGAGCAGTGCAGGCAGAGCCGATGGTACTCGCGCTTCACGTTTCTGATCGTGATGCCAGCCTTGGGATCAGCAACAAACGTCAAGTCCTTGGGAAAAGGCTTCCCCTCGCACCCCCTGAGGGAGTAATTGGTCACTTCTGGGTCCGTCAGAGGACAGCGGACCAGCGTATCGTTGCCTTCTTTCCCATACAACGGAAGGTCTACGAGGAAAAGCTTTGCAGGATCTAAAGCAGATCAAAAATCAGTCGTCTGAGTGGCAGGCAGCAGGCACCGAGGACATTTTAAAAGATCACGGATGACTCCGCATTTTGTTCCTTCTTTGCAAGCAAAAGTAGAATTTATCCAAATACTACGAATCGAGTAACAGTTAACATTTGTCATACACTTCCCACGTGTCGGACACTAAAAAAAGTGACATGGCCCAGAAATGGCTGAGCGGAACTCAAATCCCTGCCCAACTGATACCACGATTTGAGCCCCTAAAACTCGGAGGGTATTTTACTGCAATAGTTCCTATTCTTCTACAACAGGGAATACTCAAGCAGCATGGGCCAAGACTAAGGCTGTGTGATGATACCCATTAGGGTCAGGGAAAGCTGATCTTTCTCTATCCTTCTGGTGGTGGGGCGGGGGCCTTTCCAGAACTCCCCGTGGCCAGGACCTTTCAGCTTCTGCACAGAGCCTGGGAGACCATCAGCCGGCCACCCTGTACAAATGTCATCAGGGGCCCCACTCTTCCTATTTCTTGAAAGATATGGATAAACATAAACTTCTGGAAATCCAATGAAGCCATATTCCCAAGGGGGGTCTTAGGAGTTTCGGGAATGCTGTGGCAAATACTTCATCATCCGAACCAGGACGCTTGTGAGTGAAGGGCAGTGCTATTAATAATTACGCCAGGACACCAGGTGTGGCCTGGGAAAGCCTCGGGCAGACTGGGACCTCCTATAAGCAACGACAAACCTCATTCTGTGCACACAATATGCGGCCACCCCTACCGTGTAAAGCTAATACAGACAGACGGTTGGGCCAACAGATCATGTTTAAAATGTTGTTTGTTTTTTTTTTTTAAAGGGCACTGAGGGGGGGCACTGGATGGGATGAGCACTGGGTTTTATACTATAGGTCGGCAAATCGAACTCCAATAAAAAAATATACAAAAATAAATAAAAATAAAATAAATTTCAAAAAATTTCTTTATTCATTGTCCATTCCACTTGGAATTTGGTGTCCCACAAAAAATCAATTTGACATTGGTGAAATAGATTTACCATTTAATTTTAGGGAAAAAAAAGATTCTAGGATGAGTAATTACGCATGTCCCAGCCTCACTCCTCTGTTCTCTGAATAAAGCACCTCATGAGGATAGAACTGAGGTCCGAAGCCGTCGCTGGTTATCATTCCATCTACTCTCTCTCAGTTGCTGGAACCCGGCTCCTACAATGCCCCAATCTCCTTCCCTGCTGTAACGTAAACTACTCAAGTATCCAAAACATCTCAAATCAGCAGTTTAGTGTAGCTCTGATAGCTCTGACTTACTGAGGAAGACTTCCCTTCTAAAAGAAAAAAAAAATCCATGAACTCTGCGAGACTGACTTGGCTACTAGCTTCCCCCCATTTCCTCAGTCATCTACCCACTGTATTCATATGCAGAAGGAGACTTCATTACCACCTGGAAATTAGAGTATCTTCTCGAATTCCAACGACCAGCACACAGGATACCTCCACAATTAGAGACATACCCGGAGGCTAAGCTGTGCCTTATCCATGGGTAGGTCTCAGTTTACCCACGTAGGAGAATAACAGATACACTAAGGAGAGGCAACCTTCCCTACAGCGAACACAAGGGGAGTCTACTTGATGAACCCTTGAGAGAGCCAGAATTTGCACGATTCTGGTCTCCTGAACGACGACAATTACACCAGGAAGACAGAGCAGGAGACTCTCAGGGTTCCGGTGAGAAACCGAGACTCCTGAGGTCCCTCAGACCTGCAATCTAGGACAGACGTATTCATTATTCCCCCACAATACTGTGGATGAGGCCTCCTACGTAGTCCCGTGTTCACTGGACAGAAACTCAGAGCCAGAACCGGGACCCTATTCTTCCTCCTAGGACCTGAGGATGCGTCTCCTAAAGCTCAAAGTCCTTGTTTTTACATCAACAGAAAGAGCCTCCTGCCTCCCATATATTAGCAAACCTCCTCTTGACAAGGATGTTCAGCAAACACAGGCGAATCACCGAGTTTATCATAGGAAATGAGGTGCGGAAATCCAACAATCGTAGTTTTCTTCTGTTTCCAAAAAGGTCACCATTTTGATTTGGTTCTTTGTTTCTTTTTCTTTTCTTTCTTCTTCTTTTTTTTTTTTTAAACGAATCAACTGACAACTATTAAAGAACCTAAGAGGGACATGGGGTGATTTAGCTGACTGGGTTGATTTTCTGGAATTTGCTCCCCTAAGAAGTGGGTCAATTCTTTTTGAAGTGTTGGTCTGTTTGGGCCTCCCGAGGCCTTTCGTTCCCTGAAGTGTTTTTACTAAGTGGGAGCATCTAGGATCTCAAGGCATTAAAATGAAGCTTTCCCAAAGGGCCTCATTTATTCTCAGGGTTTACTCAGAGAGCCAGGACAAATGGGCTAACCATATCGTAATCTCATTAGGAAGAGCAGCGCAGGCTCACACACCTTCGGCTGAAGTCACACCCACAGCCACGATGGATCAAGAGATGGGGCGGGGGGCGGGGGGTGACCAACAAAGAAAATTTTGTTTTAGGCTTTCTAGACCTAGCCATATTTTCTCTATGGCTCAGCCATCTCTATGTCACCCATAATTAAGAACAGGATATTAAGTCCTCTAAAGCATAGCATGAAAGAAAGCCACACATTTACCTCTGACAAACACATAAATGGACCTGCTCAAGCCATCTCTGTTGGTGCACGTGTAATTGCCCGTGTGGCCCGCCTCTGCCTTCTCTGTGATCCATTCGTTGTGTGTGTTCTCACTCAGCTGGCGCAGGGTCTCAAAAGTCCACTTGACAAATCCTGGATCGGTGCAGGTCAGCCTAAGCTCGTCGCCGACACTGACTATTAACTCTGATTTTGCTGGATGGATGGATGGGAAAGACGGTTTCCCCGGACGCACAGATGCTTGAGAAGGGCCTGCCAAGAAAAATAAGAATCGTGTTGAGTACGATCTTTTCCTTGGCGAAATAAAGCGACTCTTCCGATATTGATTTCCATCTTCTGTGCGCTCTACAATAAAAATAGGACAAAGTTGCCCCACTATTTACAGTTAGAAAGAGTTCTGTTTAAAGTTTCTTAAGTTCTTCATCGAGAAAATCATTTTCTGCAACTCTCCATTAATCCCGAGGGTCACACTTGGTAGGCAAGCCGTCCTTGCGGGATGCCACGCATGGCCCTTCTCCGGGGGAGAAACACAGCTGGGTCACGTTTCCACTCTGAATATGGGCCATCGAAATGGTGCTGACATGCTGACACCCTGCTCAGGAACAACAAAAACAAAACCCCACACTATTAGAAACAAACAAAAAAACCTGCTGGCCTGTTACCCTTCTGGCAAAATGTACGTGACCATGACATGGGTTGGCTGTGAATTCAGTTATTTGTGTGAAATTCTCCTTATACGGTGATGTTCCCCCAAAGGAGAACTATTTAAGAGTCTCAAATAATAAGGCAGCACATGAAAATCCCATTTTAAAGATCAGACCATGAGGGCAGCCCGGGTGGTTCACACCTTCAGCCCAGGACGTGATCCTGGAGACATCAGGCCCCTGCATGGAGCCTGCTTCTCCCTCTGCCTGTGTCTCTGCCTCTCTCTCTCTCTCTCTCTCTCTCCCTCTCCGTATCTCTCATGAATAAATAAATAAAATCTTAAAAAAAAATCAGACCGTGACATATCTCATGACATATGTTGGGCTGCAGCCTAATCAAACTAATGCCTAAATAGGCTTCTTAATATAAAGATGCAAACTTTAGACTCGGAGTATGAAACTTGAAGCTTAGAAAATTCATGGCAGTCCATTCATTCATTCATTCATTCATTCATTCATCCATCTGTTGCATGAATGCAAATGTACCTGTTCCTTATTCACGGTCTGCAAGAGCTTCGAGCTGGGTGCTGGGGAAACGTCCACATAAGTGCAACACCTGGTTCTTACACGCACCCCAGAGTTTAGAGAATGCACTACTCACATGTCACAATAAGTGAAACGCAGCTGTTCTGGCTTCAAGCTGAAGAAGAAGGAAGAGGTGGGCTGGACCTTGACCATATCAGAAGAGGTGAAAGAGAAGACAGACACGGGCCGTAGATGTATACCACAGAGACCACACAGACCGTGCAGAGACACTCGATATTTTCCAGCAGAGAAGTGACATGCACAGTAAGATACCGAGATCCTCCAGATTCAAGGAACTCCGTGAAGAGCTCCAGGCCTCAGAGGTTGGCAGAAGGAACAAGACCGACAGTAAGGATCTGAGACTAAAGGAGCATTATTATACCATCAGAGGGAAAACACATTAATGGTTCTAGTGTAATTAAAACTACAAAGACTGACTCACATTCGACCTGGGTGAGTGAGTGGGAAGAAAGGGTCCCGGGGTGAGGTAGGCTAGAGCAACAGGGGGGGAGGTGGAGGAGGAGGGAGCTTTCAATCGCTTCCGCAGGGTCATAGGCAAAATGGCATATCTATCCCCTCCGCACACATACAAGGTCGGAGACAAGAAGCGACCTGAGTTCTGATGTTGGAGTAAAAATCCTCCAATCCAGGCGGAGAAAGGAGCAGGTGGGAGGCAAAGGCAGCAGGTAAGCCAGGCCAGGAAGCTCTCCCCAAGTCTGGCATGACTGGGGGTGGGGAGACATGATCAGAAACGTGTGGGGCCAGGAGGGCCAAGAGCCCTGCTCTCAGGGGCTCCCGGGCCAGTGGATGGGACTTCTCACCTTATGACCTGCATTTCATATGGTGGAGGAAGAGCAAATAACGTGTGAAGTTAAAAGACAGGATCAGGGGACGCCTGGGTGGCTCAGGGGTTGAGCATCTCCTTTGGCTCAGGTCATGATCTTGGGGTCCTGGGATCTAGTCCCGCATCAGGCTCCCCCGCAGAGAGCCTGCTTTTCCCTCTGCCTACGTCTTGCCTCTCTCTGTGTGTCTCTCAGGAATAAACAAATAAATAAATCTTAAAAAAAAAAAGGCAGGATCAGATAGTCAAGGGTGAGGGCTTGTGGAAGAAAGAGGCACACACAAAATACCAATCTTGAAGAGCTCGTCCAGCTAAGAGGGTGTAGATTTGAGATTTAAAAGTCAAACAACAATGAACAAGCTACAACAACAAAACCACCACCAGAAAGGAAGAGGGTGGGAGGGGAAGGCAACACATCAGAAGGTTTCAAAGAGAAGGTGGTGGGGACTAGGGCAGATGCTGAGCGAGATCAAGAGGATGAACAAAAGCGACCAAGGGAACAAACCGAATCTATTTGGTGAGAAAGAAACTGCAGGAAATGCAAGAGAACAATTTCAGGTGAGTGGGAATTTCCGTGTGCTCCCAGGGTCAGAGGCTCTACACGTAGACCTCTCTGTGAGAAGCTACGGCACAGGAAGGCACAGAAACAGATCTATAGTCAAAGGAGGTGAAAAGTTCCAGAAGAGGGGCGCCTGGGGGGCTCAGTGGTCGAGCGTCTGCCTTTGGCCCAGGGCGTGATCCTGGAGACCCGGGATCGAGTCCCACATCGGGCTCCCTGCATGGAGCCTGCTTCTCCCTCTGCCTGTGTCTCTGCCTCTCTCTGTGTGTCCCTCATGGATAAATAAAATAAAAATCAAAAAAAAAAAAAAAAAAAAGAAAGAAAGAAAGTCCCAGATGAGACTTGTTGACACGTGAGGACAGAAGAGGAGAGGGACACACCAAAGATGCTCTAGAGCAGCAGTGAAACCATCCCCTGCAGGTGCACATAGATGATGACTGGTCTCCATTCCAATTTGTTACCCAATATTTCATCTGGGCACCTTTCAACCATGGCTTCAATTGCAGCTCCGTGAGGTCATGCCAAGTACACCCCAGATTGAAGATACTCAGCAAACCTCGATTCGCAGAAGGTAACAACAAGGTCGATTACAATCATCAAACATTATTAAGCACCAATAACACATGAAGGGCTATAGGCAAGATCATCTGTCCCTTGCTGGGCTCAGCATCTAAATGCAGGGGGCCAGAATAGGAAACGAAGTGCTTGGGATTGTTTTCAAAGTCATATGCAGTGTTAAATAATGAAAATGGGCACAGCAATAAATGGAGACACTATTATGTCAATTATTTATCCCCTTTTAAAAAGGGAGTTGTTGCAAGGGAATAGCAGTGACGTTGACAGAAAATTTAATCCAAAAATCCTTAAAGAATTTATACTTCAAAACACTTCAATCAATTTAGCTTTCTCGGGAGGGGATCTTAAGGGCCATAGGTATTATGACAATCCAGCTGAATAACCATCGCCAACTTCTGGAGAAGGACCGTAACCAATGGAAGCTAAGCCTCGCTGCGTGACCTCAAAGGCAGGCCACTCTACTTCTCTGTGACCAAGTTTCCAGATCTGGAAAATGATAAAAATACCCTCATCTCATAGAGTCCTTATGGGAATCAAATGTGACAAATCCATGCAAAGAGCTTAAGACAGGACAGGGCACTTTGAAGATGTTGGCTTTCACACTGAGATGGTCGAGCATACTCAGTAAGAGCTTGGCTCTGGAGTTAAGACTCTAGATTTGCATCCTGGCTCTGCCAAGGAGTTAAGTGTGTGATCCTGAGGCGAGTTACTAATCAATTCTGTCTTGGTTTCCTCATTTGCAAAGTAGGGACAGCAACAGAACCTATTTCATAAGGCTGTCATACAAAGCACTCAGAACTGTTTCTATTACGTAGAAAATACATAATAAATGTTAGACACAATTATTCTAGAAACAGAACCTCTTATCACCCCTCCAGTCAGTCCTGACTCACTCACTTCCCATGAATGTAAACGGTTCCATCATTTCCCAAATGGGTTCCTGCCTGACTTCTGCCTCCTTGGCAGCAAATCCCAGCCATCTCCTCCTTTGGAGCCTCTGCCTCTCATCCTTGCCTGCCTTTCCTCTCCTGCTGCCCCACCCCAGACTAGCCACCTACTACCACCCAGACAGATGACATCTTCTCCTAGGAGATTTCTGTGCTTCCAGCTCATCAAACTCCCAACTCATCAAACCTCATGGCCCTGAGATCCATCAGGCCAAAAAAAAAAAAAAAAAAAAACTGTCCTTCAACAACCCCAGTCCCAGCTTCAAAAACCCTGTCAGAGGCAGCAGCAGCTAACACTGACCTCATGGATAGCTTACAAAGCACCTGCATGGGACTTGGTTTCTAGCTGCTTCCTCTGGACTTTTACCTCCCTCTCCAGTAAGACAGTCTTAGGCTGGCGGGCTAAGGAGCCTATAAACAATTCCATCCCTTCGTGGGCCCATCTTCCTGCCCCCATTCCCAACCCCAGAACACATCTACTCCACCAATTCACCTTCTTGCCATGTGGAAAGCCCTGTTTTCCACAGGCATTGGTCCCTAACCACGATCACCTGCCCTCACTAACTCCATCCAACATGTCCAGCACCATCACCCATCCGTTTGTTCTGATGCTCACCGTGTTCTAAATCTAAGTCTTACCTCCTCCACCTAACTCCAAGGATCCTAAATTGTATTTTCCCCCTGGCAAAGCCATAAAAACATACCCTTCAATCCCTGAACATAGAAAAGATCGGAGGAAGGACAGATTCCTAAATACCTAGCCCCTGTAACGGGTGTCAACAGTCCACTGACCTATCCCCAAAAGAGGACAGATGTCATTTCTGGTGTTCCACTAAGAAAAGGGAGTGGGGTTCTATGCATCCATTAAACTGCTATGGATGCTTCTAAAAAAGAGTCCTCCGAACTTGAGGTCATTGGTTTCTGCTTTACCTCTAGAGCTTTAGAGAATAAATTTTAAGATAATTGGCACCAAAAGATTAAGGGTTTTATTTTCAAAGTAAATTACTTATAAGTTCAACCCTCAAACTCATCCTATAAAATGAAAATAGAACTTATATTAGAATGGGACTCTAGGTATTATTTATTCTCTTTTTCCCAAA